CAACAATAATTGTGGTACCTCCTCCCTCTCTATTACCTTATTTTTAGTTAGATCTTCAATGTTTTAGCCATTGCTAGAAGTTGTGGAGTTAATTGCAAGAAGCAGTTATGAAAAGGGTATGTAACCATTTAGACTTTCTTACTTACTGTATTAGTTTATTTGAGCTTATTTTAGAAATTTATTTCTTAATTAAACTTTATTTGTAATCTTTGTTTGTTGGGTATTAATCCTTCCCTCTTCTTCTGGTAAATTGTTTTGTATATGAGATGTAGGTGAGACGAAGAGAAGCCGACATTTTTAGTATGTGCTCTTTCTACGTCCCCAGATTAAGAAGCATAAGGATAGGTAGAGCATGAGCTCTTGAAGACTAAGTTGTTGTATTATATGTTAAATGTAATTTTCTTAGTGGTTTATACAACATCAAGGTAATATTATGTTATTCAAATTTAAGGTCTGATTTGATTGTGAACTGTGGGCGGCCCAAAGTAAGAAATGAACTTTTTGTTTTAGAATTACCTAACTTCCATATTTGAATGTGTAGCAGCCATTAAAAAATATCGATTGAGTGCTTATAACTTTAAGGTGGAATAGAACTACAAAAGGTTGGGCTTGATGTTCATACAAAAACCAATGGTGAAGCTTGCCAATTGTAAATCAAATATGTACAAAGAGTTGATCTGGTCGGTACTGACATGTGCAGCCTTTGATAATATACATATGTTTAGAAAACACTTACCTAAATTTCCATTTTGCAAAAATATGAGGATTGACAGTAATCTCAATTTCGATTGAGTTTTAGTTAGCATTATTTTTGCAAATATTGTAACAATATTATACCAATGTTGTACAGAGAATTCTTAATTATAATTTACTCATTTTAATAACATGTTGGGCACGTTGGGCCCGTGAGATGCACAGGCGTCATCCTTCTAGTTTCTATTATATGGAAGAGTCAGGTTGAGGACGACCAAGAGCAAATTTGTCATTTCATAAATATTCTAGAATGTTTGTTTTTATGTTATGACATCAAAAAAGCGGTAATAGATTTATAATGACAATATAACCAAATATATTTTATTAAATGTCATGTGTATCCTAATGATGTGACATTTAATATGGACCCACATTTTCAATCACATTTTCTATAGATTTTTCTTTTTCCTTTTTTTTTGTAGTGTGAAATTTTCATTAAACCAAAAATATCTATTAAACAATTGGCATTTTAGTAATTTTAATATTATTTAAGGGCGAAATAATAATTGTATAATTAATGACCAAAATGAAAATCTAAAACAATCCATACATGTCTTTACTTTTAAAATTGGCCCATAAAGATATTTTTATAATTTTGTTAAAATGAAGAGTTTCTATTAATTAACTTTTTACAAACAATAATAAATGCTAAGCTTGTTTTGACATGTTTTTGAAAGAAAATGTTTAACTAATTTAAAATAAAATGTGTTTGAATAGTTAATATTTTGTTCCTAAAAATACTTTAAAGGATTATTGCGTAAACACATTTTGTTACATAATATGACCACTAAATTCGTATCTTGATTATTAAAATAATCTTTAAAATGACGTATCAATATTTTTAATTAATTTGAAGAAATATAAAATTACGTGACTAAAAGAATGAACAATGTTTGACTATTAAGAAATTAATGATTTGATAATGTATTCATCAAAAGATTAAAAATATAAAATTACATGACCAAATTGAAAATCTAGAAGAATTCATACATGTCTTTACTTTTAAAATTGGCCCATAAAGATATTTTTATAATTTTGTTAAAATGAAGAGTTTTTATTAATTAACTTTTTACAAACAATAATAAATGCTAAGCTTGTTTTGACATGTTTTTGAAAGAAAATTTTGAACTAATTTATAATAAAATGTGTTTGAATAGTTAATAGTTTGTTTCTAAAAATACTTTAAAGGATTATTGCGTAAACATATTTTAATATTATGATACATAATATGACCACTAAATTCGTATTTTGATTATTAAAATAATTTTTAAAATGACGTATCAATATTTTTTAATTAATTTGAAGAAATATAAAATTACGTGACTAAAAGAATGAACAATGTTTGACTATTAAGAAATTAATGATTTGATAATGTATTCATCAAAAGATTAAAAAATATAAAATTTTCATTTCTATATAGAATATTTTCTTAATATTAAATATGATAAACTATTTAACAGGGAAAATTTGACAAGGAAAAAAATTAATATTCAAATCCTAAGGAATATTAAAATACAAACTAAAGAAAAATGAGTAGTTAAAAATAAAGAAAAACAAAAAATGAAAATGTCAATAGAAAGGGGCTTGAGAAATATAGAGGAAGAAAAAACCTAAAAAATAAATAATAACTGGAAAAAGAAAAACAAGTAATATTGGTTATTTTGTGGGGGTACGATTCAAAGTTTTCTTTTACGGCATGATATTTAGAGTGTAGTATAAAAAAAATTATTAATGTAATTTAGAATATAACATTATGTCAATTGTTATCGTATATTGAAATAAAATTGCTTTCATGATTATTTTTATTTTTGTGGAGTTAGAAATCAATATTTTAATAAATACTTTCAATATTTAGAATATAACATTATGATAATTGTTATTGTTTATAGAAGTAAATTTGATTTCATGATTGTTTTTATTGTTGTGGAAGTTATTAATCAAGTTTTTAATAAATACTTTCAATATTAAAACCAAAATAAATAGAAGTATTTCTATAATCGAAGACAATAATGAAATGTATCACAAAATTCACCGATAAAGCAAACTACAAACACATTATACTATTAAGTTGAAGTAGTAAAGATTTGAAAGGCTTTGAATCGATCTTTACGAATTGGTTGATCAATGATTAGTATTTTATCAGATGCAAAGCTTATGGTGCAGATATTACAAAAAGAAGATGATAACATTGTAGAAAATAGATATCACTTGCGAAAATATATGAAGATCGATGAACTTTTTTAAAGATATCAACATTTTATATATTCCTCGAATGCGAAATGTTTTAACTCATAATCTAATGCAATTCTATATTTCCTTGCTGCATAGAACTTTTTGAAATTCAACTTTCTCAATTTGGGTTGTAAACGATGCATTTATGTCGTATGAACATTTGAAAAAGATTATTAAGTAATATATTGAAGTTGTTTACTGTAAAAAAAAAAATAGTATAAAGTATAGAAATCTCATATATTTAGAGGCTAATTACATTCTATCCCAGAAGTTTCCTCAATTACAAAAATCTCGAATTTTTCGTTGTTCTCGAATACATTCCTTGGTTGTCTGATACATTACTAATGATATATATTACTTCATGGGAGGGATGTATCCAAGAGGGGATATCTATGTATCCGAGAGGAGATAGATATATCTGAGAGGGAATAAGAATATATCCGAGAGGGGATTATGATATCTTAAGTTGTGAATTTATGTAATTATTCAACAAAATATGTGAAATTATATTGGCCCCGTATCACGGGGATTAAATTATCTAGTATATATATATATATATATATATATATATATATAATCAATGGCATTCGCTGTAAAACCTTTCATTGTATAAGACTTTCATGTGTCCCGCTGGCCAAACGTAATGATATTTGTTGTACAAATGTCAAAGTGATTAGGCTTCATTATGGAAGCTCTAAAGATTCGCCAAGTTGTATGCCATCTCTACAGTAACTGGTCAGTTGGTTCAACAGATTAAAGACGGGGTGTTTCAAATATGAGACTTTCGGCTAATCCAGATGCTAAGGTTGGCTATGTGTACATGCCTTGGGTTCTGTGTGGTGACTTCAACACAACTAGACATCCCTCATAGAAGAAGAACTGCCACAGAATCAGCAAAGCAATGTCTGACTTTGTGTGTGGTAACTATGGATTTATCTACGATTCTTTAAGAGTTACGATCAGTGATTATCAAAGGCGAAAAGTGCAAAAAAGCTCTAAGGCCTGTGGGGGTTTTAAGCGCAAAGAACATATCTGTAACATACTAGTCGTCCAAAAAAATGAATGTTATCCTAATCGTTTTGTATGTTATCCAGTGGCTCACTGGTGATCATCAGACGCTTCAGAAAGATGATGCATGGAGGCAAACCTCCTGTTTATCTAAAAGTCTAATACTCAACATGAGAAAATGGCCCAATTCAGTAACTTTATAAGCACCAAAATTCAGTTACTTGAGCTGAAAGCGCAGAAATGAGCTAAAAAGCGGTCAAAATCAAATTGTTTTATTTGTTCTTTTATAGTTTTTTAGTACCTAATAAAATTATAGCTTTTCTTAAATATAGCTATGTATATAACATATCACGAAAAACAAGTTTTTTAGAAAATAGTTGACAAGATTTCTCATGGGCCAATTTGGGCTTATATTATCCCAAATTTTGATGGCTTGAGCTAATAAATGTGCAGGCCAATAATCAGCCAAAACTTGGGCGAATTATGATTTCATGGGCTAATCGTGCCACCTCTAGAATTTTAGACGATAATTAGTGTTTGATCAAACATGTAATAAGTGTTTCTAAATAAGCACTTCTTGAAAAACACAAGTACATTTAGCCTTCAAAAAAAGCATGAACAAACAGGCTATTTTTCCTTTCAAAAATGCTTTTCAAAAACATATTTTTTTGAAAAAAAAAACATTTCTAAGCTCCCAAAAACATAATAGTCAAAAACAGGAGTGTCTCTACAGACCAGAAATAAACCAAAAGCTCAGATAAAAGTATAATAAATAAAATAATGAATGTTTCTGTCTCTCTCTATGGAAATCCCATAGATGTTACATTATTTGTTTTCTATAAACAAAAAAATATGCAGATTCAAATTCAAATACCTAACTGTTGAAACCAAATATAAAAACTTATATAACAAACACATCAACTGTTCGATGAAACGAGACGGTTATAATCTCCCCGTAGTTTCTGATCCTTGCTGGAATTCGTCCATTGGGCATAAAAGAGTTAATAAAATGCAACCTGAAAAATCAGTTGTCGGCGTTATCAGGATGGAGGTGGGGTGGGACTAGATCATCGATTCAATCTCCATATATTCGACTGATTTTCTTGGATAGTTTCCATTTATGGATCTTCTTTTCCTCTTTTTCTTCTTGCATAGAAGCATTAACCAGTGTGTTCACAGAGGATGAGTCAACAGGCTGAATGGAGAAGGGACTTGGAGTAATGAGGCCAGAATTCGTTAACATATCCATCTCAACTCGGCCAGTAGGCATTTGCAACTCTGCCAAAAGAAATAACCAAAGAGCTTATAAGATAAGATCCCATTTTTTGCCATAGAAAGCCAAAGGGAAGAAATTTAAGATTTATGAGATACATAGCACATAGAGCCCACCATTCACATATTCCGTGTTTAGTAAAAGTGGTAACGACCAAGTTACTTTAATGTTAGGCCTATAAAAACCAAGACATAGGCTAGACGTTGAAAGCTAAATACATTGTTACTTGTTTTAGATGTGAGATATGACCAAAGAGAGAAATTGCATATACAATGTATGTAACAGGAAATAGGATTAATCATAATCTGAGAACAACGAATGGCTGTGAATGTGCAAAACATCAGTCAAAGGACATTGCAACACGATAACTTCCTGGAATTATACATGAACGTAATCCAAAATGTGAGTTAATGTCAAGATTTTCATGTTTAAGGAAACAAGACACGCGTTGAATAACTGTTTTGCTTACAAACAAAACAGTAGCTAATTTTATACAAGATTCTCGTCTCAGTTGAGCCATTGCAGTTCTAGCAGAAGACTTGCTTAGCAACAGAAAGCTATGCTTCTTGGTGATATAGCTCGTAATTATTCGTCTTAAGCTTTTACTGTTTCATTATGCAGCCTTTACTTTTTACAATTGAGACATAAGGGGATTTTGCAAGACTTAAAGCAAGAATATGAGACTATTTTAAAACGACTAAACATAGAGTCAAACTAACAACGAGATGAACTGTGTAAAATTAGTTTACCTGATTGGCCATGAGCAAAGTGACAACGATCACGGAAGGGGCATTGACCTGTTGTCTCCCACTTGCTGCATATCTTCGTCTTCCAGTATACAGGTTTAATACGGACAGCATCTGAATCAGCATTTCCATGCTTGCTAATCTCAATCAGCTCGGGATCACATCTGTTTCCAGTAGTTCCGATACTTATTGCAGAACTCTCTCTGTGCCTTGGCATGTCAGTCTTAAATTTTGGAGGACGTTCATGAAGAAAATTACACTTATCTCCATAAGGACACTCCTCTCCGTTATAAAACTTCTTGCAAATTTTCATCCTATGTATTATTTTTTGATCATCATTCCAGTTCTCTGCTCCTCCATCCTTTTCACGTACCAAGTCCTGCCAATTCGGAGGAGGCTCCCGCAGATCTTCAACACCATGAGCAAATGTACAGTGTTCCCCATTCCTACAAGTTCCTTCCAAGAACTTAGCACACATACGGGTTTTGTAAAATATATGGCTCGTCCCTTTTCTTCCAAGAAGATTTGGTGGATTTACTCTAGAATTCATCGCAGAAAAAGCTGCAGAATTCGGCGAATTGCTACCGAACTCCCTCATTCTCTTGAACGGAGGAGCATGCTCAAACTGAGAATAGGACTCAAAGATCTCATGATTCATCGAAGAATGAGACCAAACGTCCCCAGCATCACCACCAACAAATGGCATTTGCATAAAGTGTGAGGGAACAGGCGGTTGAGGTTGATCAGAAAAACTCATATTCCCTTTTCTAATGTCAATTCTTTAAACTAAATCCAACTATACTCTTCTACTCTCTAAAAAACAAATAAAGATAACAAATTTTAGCACAAAAACAGAGAAATTAATAAAACACCAGTAACTGCAGTGAGATACATATATGAAACAACAGAACACCATAAAACTAAACAACAATAACTACAATAAAAATTGTTAAACAACAACATAGCCCCTTGCGATCTAGGAAGGGTAGGATTGACGCAAACTTTTCAATAGACCCTCGACTCAAAACAACAATTCATTGAAAAGAATAACCACTACACATCAATCTCAATTTCAAACAAGTTAGGGTCGGCTGTATGAATCATCATTGTTCCATTTAACCTCAATTCATGGCATGGCATAAAAAATCAAAAAATTACTCATGAAGAGTGCTCTACCACTCTTATAACATGTAAAAAAATAAAATTAAGTTTGAACCCCCCATAAAACCGTACAGACCTGCAACCCACCCCGCATTAGCTTTTTAAAAAATTACTTGAACCCTCCCTGCATCTGTCCCCGCCCCGCACAATCTTAAAATCACTTTGCCCCACATTGCCTTAAAGCCGCCCCGCATCTTCCATTCAAAAATGGGTAAGGACGCAGGGTATTTGCGTGGGGTGTGTGGGGTATTTCACACAATGGACAAAGGAAAAGGAGCTCAATCAAACAACTCTACACACCATGTGGCCAGGAGAGAAGTATAACCAATTAGACAGCAGAGAGAGAAAGAAGAGCATAAGAAGCAATCCGGAGAAGAGCTTGGGGAAATAGCGGTAACCATCACATATCGATATACCAACACCAATCACAGTGAAAACACTATAGATCCAGTCAAACAGTTTTACAAGCTTTCACATTAAATTTCTAAAAAGAGCTTCTGAAGAAGCCTGAAAGACAATATTGACATCCATAACAATGGTTTTCTTCATGGAAGTTACCATCTAAGTTCGTGCAAGTAGTTCGTGTCAATGTACATCGAAAACTAACACTCCCATCCTCAGCCGTTAGCAACTTACACACTGACAGTGCAAAACAGTTATACTTCCCTTTCTATGTACCAGCAACACACAATAGAGCAATGGAGGATCTACTTCACTATATTAAAAGTGGCACTTGGTCTGGAAGTCATCACTGGAGCCTCCCCCCTCTCATCATACTCAACAAACTCATCTCCGGATAAATCAATGCCTTCAAATATCGTTCCCTTAAGCTGCATTAAGTGAATCAAATTAAAACTGGCTCGACATTTCCCATAACACGAAAAATCTAAGAATTGGACATAGAGCCTAAGAACTGCAAGTCTCTTCAGCAACCAAAAATTGTTACAAAGACATCTGACCAAAAAGTTGCTAATACAAGCCACGGAGAAATCAATTCGGGAAAAAAAAATGAATGTTAGCCTAGTCGTTTTTTATGTTACCTGACAAAATCAGACAAGTTTAAGCCCATATAATTCAAGGAGAACAAATCCAAAGACAAACCATAATATTTATGTTCATGATATAGTTGCTGTAAACAAGTATGGGCTAAAAAGCGGTCAAACCAAACTCGGTCAATTCTTACTAAGCTTTAATTGTTTTATTTGTTCTTTTATAGGCTTTTAGTACCTAATAAAATTATAGCTTTTCTTTAATATATCTAGCTATATATATAACATATCAGGAAAAAAAAGTTCTTTAGAAAATAGTCAACAAGATTTCTCATGGGCCAGTTTCGGCTAAATATTAGCCCAAATTTGATGGCCTGAGCTAATACATGTTCAGGCCAATAATCAGCCCAAACTTGGGTGGATTATGATTTCATGAGCTAATCTTGCCACCTCTAGAACATAGAACGTATTCTCCAAGAAGTTACCTAGGATATACATGACCTCGTTAAGGAAACTAGAAATATATTCAAAGAACCCCGACAACAGCTCAAAAACACATGGAGAATTAACAGGGCAAAGAAATTTTATGCCTATATTTAATATTTCGACAACTTTTTTATAACAAAGATTTTCTTTAAATTTAAGAAACACCAAAGCAGAAAGCGAGGGAAGAGCTTACAGATTCAGCTTCCCATTCTCCTCGGAAAACATAATCCAGCTGCTCAAAACCCCTGCAATCAAATAACATCAAAGGTGCACATTTTCCAGCTTCACTATCAGCATGAGTCAGAGGACGGCCGAGGCCAGTGATCATGGTTACTGTACCAACACTGCTACAGAACTTGCACTGGAAACAAAAATCACAAAAGACTTAGTAATCAGTCAAGTCTATAACAGCAACAAGAGCTGTAAAATAGCAATAGGACATCAAAGGGGGAAAAAAAAAACAATAAGGAAGGCAACAATTAAGACTCAAAACAGACTTCAAGGATATCAAAGTTATTCAACATATGGAGCTAAGAAACAACAACAGGGGCATTTACTACGGCTTAACCCATTCTGAATGTTGAAGATATCCTAATTAACTCCGTCACCTCAAACTTCAAGCGGTCTCAGTGATGTTAAATTCAGTGTAAACTAGCTCTGTGTCATATCTAAACTAACATATATGCACTCAGATATGCATAAAGAAATGTCTGGAGCAGTAGATTATATCGTCACAGAAAAGGAAACAGGATGATAGGTCACCTTCTGGACAAGGTGGGTGTGGCCCATGCCAAAGGGAAGAGGAACAGTTTCAACCAACCTCACATAAGTCTCCTTTTTGGGTGATCTCACCACAATGGCCACACTTAAGCTGCACAATTCAAAAGAAAAAGAACAAGTTTAATGGACTATGAAATAGGTATTAATGTAGGGCACCAAATGGATGCTTTCATCTCACAGAAAAAATTGGCAAAAATAACTTATGGAAGCAGTACTATCTCACATGAACATACCTAAAAGGAAATTTCAGTAGTACTATATTGATAGAGAGTGCAGTACACATTAAAAATAAAATGACAGAAGGTTTAACACTTCGGGACGTCTTAAAATGGAAGAAGTGTTGTATAAATTAAAACAAAGTTCATGTGCGATGGTGTAACATTCCGGAATGTATCAAAATGGAAAATGTGTCATATAAATTATAACAAAGTAAATAAGATTTCATACAGTGGAAATGATCCTATAAGATGAAAGAGAAGGCTGTCTTGGGATAAGAAACCTTCAACTATATAACAATAGTTTCTTATAAGTTATTTGGAGAAGGGTTGCCAATCAAAATATGGACAAAGGTCATGGCACAATGGCACAGTTAATATTTCCAATTGTTTAAGTGTTTGGAAACACATCTCAATCTGTGGGATTTGTTTGATAGGATTTTTGCAGTTACAGAGGGAGATGGAAAAGTACTATAGTTTTGGAAAGACGCATAACTGGGATGTTTACACCATTGAAATTAAAGCTTCCTGATCTACTCAGACTCAGTAACAACTATTTTTCCAATGAGGGAAGGAGATGCATGGAACTTAGGTTTAAGAAGTCTTTCAATTGGGAAGTCAGCAGACTGGCTCTTTGCTTCAGAAATTGGCCCAAGCCTTGATGAGACCAGGGCAGCCAACTCTATCAGTGAATAATTATATTTACTTGGAACAGAAAAACTCTTCATTCAGAACACAAGCATAGTGACACCAAAATTCAGAAGCTGAGATAAGAGAGTGTTTTTGACAAAGAGAAATCAAGAAAATGAAGAACGGGAAGATAAAATTGGAATGAACTACCACAAGGGCCGCAAACAGAAACCTATTGTGGCAACCATCAATTAGCTCAATCACGCTGAGAAATTATGTAGAAGCACATTAAATGAATTGCAGTGGAGGTCAAAAGCCCAAGTATGCAATGCATACAATGAACACATGGAAATAGACAGAAAAACTGAAAAGCTAAATCACAACTATGAATAAGATAGATAGTTTGAGATGAAATTGGAACGATACTCGAAAGATCCCTAAATAGACACACCTATGAAGCAAGTTCGACTCAAGACAATCTCAATAGGAAAGGTTTCCAGTTTGTATACAGGTGCTATCTGTGTTTGGAAAAGATGGAAATTGTAAACCACTTGATATTGTACTGCACAGTATCCACAGATCTTTGGAGCATGTTCTACTGTATTTTTTGTTTAAAATGGATCATGCCACAGACCATAGAGGCACAGTTGAAATGAAGTTTTTGGAGAGTTGATAAAGCCATAAAAGGATTTAGAGGAAGATACCTGCTGCGATAGGAGGTGCTTTGATGGAATCTCAACTCTAAATCACTCCCTCAAACCCAAGTGCTTACTTTATCTTTTTTTGCTGGACTACTATGACTACCGTAATTAGCACTGATCAGTGATTGGATTTTGTAAGATCCCGTGTCTTAGATTGACACTGAAAAGGGACTCATTAGTTCTTTTGTTAATGCTTTTTCCTTCCCTTGTAACTATGCATCTACTTGATGATCTTTTGTGAATGAAACATCTTACTTTACCAAAACAAAAAAAAAAACACATATAGAGGCACACAACAATTAGCTTGATAACACAATGAGTACATTAAAAAAAATAGCATGATAATCACAACATTTGAGGTGAAAACCAGAATCCTGAACATATACATGTATCCATAACAGAACACAAGGATATCAAAATGAGAATTGAAAAGAATGTGAATAAATACATAGTTTAACAATCAAAACCATGAAACTGTAAAGCAAGAAGAAAAAATTGAAATGAGCTACCAGAAGAGCCATACAAAACACCCTACAGAGGCATGCATCAATAAACTTGAGAGATCCATAGAAATGCAATAGAACAATCACAAAGTTGGAGGTCAAGAGCTTAAACAAGGGAATAGACACAAAAATTGAAACTAAGAAGCAACTAGGAATAGATTGACAGTTTACATGGAAAATGAAGAACAAGGTGAAATTGGACAGTGCACAAGCAGAACCCTAAAAAGCACATATGGTGACATACATCAACTAGCTCAATCACACAGAACACATAGAGAAGCCATAGAGTAATCGCAAATTAGAGGTTGAAAACATCAAACTTAAAATAACAGACAGGCATTCCTACACAGAACATAGAGAATTACACAAAATTTGAAAACCTAAGTTCAGAAGTAGGAATAGGCTCGATAGCTTGACAAAGTAACTTAAAAGTATCAAGCTCAAGTAAATGAAAGAATGAGCTACCAGAAAATATCTGAAAGAATAGCTAGAAGGCATCATCAATTAGATCATTGATAAATCAAATAGAAAGACAGTTGAATAATCATAAACTTCAAAGTAACGTACATACTTCATACACAGAACACAAGTAACTATGCATGAAAACGAAGAAGCTAAGTCCAACTATTAGAGATGTTATGCCCCACCACTTTTGTTTATCTACCAGATTAGATCTTATGGTTATCTACTAGATTAGCTTGATAGTATTCATCAGTTATCTCATTTGGATAAATATCCTTAATGTAAGAAGCACTCTTAGGAAGTTAGTTACTTATTTCACGGATTTAAAGACAGCTTCATATTCAATAAAATCTTCTTTCATTTTCTCTACAAGTTCATACAGAAACTAGTAGGAATAGTATAGATAGTTTGACAAAGAAAGTCATGGAAATTAAGAACAAAATGATGAAACTGAAATGAGCTTCCTGGAGATCCAAAATGAATAGCTAGGAGGAATCCTCAGTTAGAACATGATTACGGAGGTAACACACATACATATGTACACAGAACAAGGAATTAGACTCGAAAGTCATCAGAAGAAGAAACATAAAACTAAGTCGCAACTTGGAACAAACACATTTTCGACAGCGAAAATCATGAAAATGAAGAACATGAATACGTAATTGCAATGGGTAACCTCAATAGCCCCAAATAAACACCTAATGAGCAGAGACAATCCAGTATGTGTGTATTTACAATAGAGTCAACATCAAATAGATCAACCTTCATCGAGAAATCACAGACATGCAAATGCAATAAAATAAGTAAATAATTACAACTTATAGAGGTGGATACCTTAAGCAAATAGTTATAAGGCATCATCAGTTATGTCGATCTTCAAAGGAAAGATCACAAAATATCACAGTAGAATAACCGCAAACCCTATAGTAAGTAAACGAATATGAACACAAAACAAATAAATAGACACGACATTCGAATTGAACAAAAAATAAATTCAACTAGGAATAAAATATAGTTTGGCATAGAAAATCACAAAAATGCAGAACATGAAGATGAAATCGCATTGAGCAACTTGAACTTCCCAAAAATCACCTAACGAGCAGATAAAATCCACTGTGTGTGCGTATTTACTATTGAATCAACATCAATTCGATCAATGTTCCTGAAAATCACATAGGCACGAGTACATGACAATGCAATAATATAACTACAAATTATGGCGGATACCTTAAACAAATAGCTATAAGGCATCATCATTTACATCGATCTTCAAAGGAAAATTCACACTTAGAACAATCGTAAACCCTAAAGTAAAGGAAAAAATAAATAGTTGCAAAATGAGAAGAAGAAAAAAACAAGAACCTCACGAGCAGATAAAAGGAATAAAATATAAAGTTCGGGATAGAAAATCACCAACACGAACATGAAATTGTAGTGAACTACCTGAATATCCCTAAAAACACCTAACGAGCAGATAAAATCCTGTGTATTTACTATAGAATCAATACTGAAAATTATAGATACCTTGAAGTAGTAACGGAAGTTATCATTATCACAGCCGCATTGGCTGAAGGTCGGTGATGTTATCAAGCTCCGCCTTGATCATCAGCATGAAGTTCACCATTTTTCTTTATGCTCGCTGCTTCGAATCAATGCTTTCTCTCTGATTCTCTCACTGCTCTCTTCTACAGAATGGCAGAATGGAAAAGGCGCGCAGAGAAAGAGAGTTATTTATATCCTGTTATTGGAGGGTAAAAGAGTAAATTACCACATTTTGCTTCTGGAATCCGGATAGAAGTTTCCACATCATTTAAGACTTGGTCCATAGTCTCCTTTCCATTAATATAGTAAAATCTCATTAAATTAATACTCGGTTAATTAATAAATTTTTTAAGAAAATAATTTCTCTTGGTCCCACTTTGGGTCAATGAAAAAAATCATTCATTTCGATAAGATAATGTATTTTCAGAAAACCCTCTATATAATTATATGGTCTCATTAATATTATAAATTAATAATTCTCTAAAAGTATAAATATACAAAAAAAAATTAGTGAAAACGTGATTTTATTATTTCTAAAACTAAAAAATGATAGTTTAAGTATGAAACTCACACTCTCAGTAGTTTAGGTATGAAACTCAAAAAAAAGATAGTTTGCATATGTTTTGACACTTAATTCTATTTTTAAAGTAATAAATCACAATTCTAACTATTTAAAAGATATCAAAATAAAAAATGTAGAAATAATAATAATAAATTTGTATTGCTTACTTGACTCTTAAGTAGAGGTTTCTTGTCTATCCTAGCAAGTTTTTCAGTATCCGCATTAGCCACCCGCAACCGAGTCAACTGTCCGGGGCGTCAAATTAAATTAGTATCGTCCTCAAGCTCTTTTTCTTTTTTCTTTTTTCTTTTTTATGGCTAGCTATATCAGATGTATCAAGGGAGGAAGGTTTGAATGAAGGTATTTGTAGGTGAAAATAATCAAAGGCATATTCAGTATTTTTAGATGATGAGTTTTTATTATAAAAATATTGATCTAAGATATAAATTTGATCAATTTAATATTTAGATTTTTACCACTGAAAATCGTTTAAATTTTAATATTATAAGTCTAAAATTATATATTTTAAATTAATTAAAACGCCAAAAATACTATCAATTACCACATAGAAAAGTTTTATCTAATTTTAGAAACAAAAATAAAATAAGATAAATATAAAATTAAAATTTATAACCTCACGGAGAAAGGTGCACCCAGTCATAATCGCATTATGTAATACTTAGAGTGTGGATTCCCACATCTATATTTCAATAATTTCTTTAAAAATATAATATTATTATATATAATCTCGAAAGAAAATCATAAATTCACATGAATTCGATGTATTACCTATTGAAACATGGAAGAATTTTGTTTACTTTTTAAAATAATAATGATGTTGACAAAATAGCCCATATATGAAGATGTTGATGGCGTGTAGAGTGACGCTTTAGGGTTTTCTATTTTAGGAAAAAACATTTTGATTTCAAGTCTGAAACATATTATAAAGACATTGTATAATGATATCATCTTCTTATGTATTATTTCTTTATTAAGTAAAATTAATCTATGGTTAGTTTGTAACGTTCTACGATGCATAAATATTTGAAAAAATTATCTAAATACACTATTTATTTTATTATATTTTTTAAACTTTTATACGATTTGAAAAAACTATAAAAAAATATCTACTCTCTTTTATTTTTAGATACATCACTTTACACGATATATTGGTCGAATACATGACTTTACACGATTTATCAATAAATCACTTTATGCGATGTATCTGGATGTTTTGGGATGTATCTGGAATTTCGAATTCCACCAATTTTGAAGAATTTTTGTAATTTGAAAAGGAGTGGGGATATGATCAGTGGCGGATCCAGGAATTAAGTTCAAGGAGTTCGAAATTGAAAGAAGAAGCTCATGTGGTAATGTAAGTCTATGGTGAGCGTAGTAACCCCGACATGCTTTTTGTACAGGGTATCTCATTAGTTGCAAAAGTTAACACCAAACTAATAAAATATATTGAGAATAAAGCTACGTTGATAAAAAAAAAATAGTTAATCAATTGTATTACATAAGTTAATTCCTAAAACACGTGAAAATTAAAGGATGAAAAAGGAAGCGAGATGGAGAAGAAAAATATTTACCTTAACCCGCTAAATTTATATTATTTTATCCTACCGCATTAAGCTTTTCTTCCTACTTTTACCCTGCTTCATTGAACATTCTTAAAAAATTTCTTGTTGAAAAAGAGAAGATGATTCAAGCCCGAGAGTTGAGCCCAACTCCATGTGTTAAAAAGGGCGGAAAAAAAAAAAGAGGAATTGTTGCGCATGGGATTCGAACCCACAACATAAAAGCCACTGGTGAACCCCTTAACCATTAAGCTAAAGCTTCTCACTTATTTCCAGAGGGTTCATTTTAATATATGTACACATAAAATTAGAATTTGACTCTATATATATAGTGTAATTTTTCGACCGAGGGGGTTCGGGTAAACCCCCTGGACACAAGCTAGGTCCACCCCTGAATATGATGTTATTAGCTCTTAACACTATGGGGTTGTTTAGTAGGCCGCATTAGAAGAAATAGTTCATGTATTAGGTAAGATATTATTTAGTACTATGTTTGGTAGGAATTTGGGCCTATGTATAACTAAGGATAAACTACCTTATTAGACATACATCACTACTATAAATACTAATATTATCTTTACTTTCAAATAATTACATCTATTACCACTTTTAGTATTTTATACCATATATTAATATATTATTTGAAGATACAATTAGATACTCACATCCCTTAAAATTAGGATTGATTAATTATCTGCTTAATTAACTCTTTCACTCTAAATCAACCACTATCTCTTAATTCTCCCCTCCCATATTTATCACTCAATTATGTCTCCTCCTTTCTGATTCAAGAATTTCACCGTACAATTTCATTCTAACAATAACTAATCTACTATTTTCTTCTCAAGATATCATCACCATGGCTGACAAATTCTCTAGAACCCAAATATTATTCTGTATTGTTCATTTATACCAAGATCAAATCAAAGTAACTGCTACAGAGAAAACTTTCAATTCAGAGTGGGTCTTGATTGTTTGTCTCCAGAAGAAATGGATCTTAGTTTTGATTATGTTATGCCACAACGCAAAAAGATCAAAGGGAGTATTGTAGAAAGTTTTTGTTTGTTGGTGTCCTTCTAAGGCTTTCTTTGGTTACCATAACATGGATATGGTAGTACCAATATTACTTTGGTATAGCCTTTGAAACATATGTATCCAATAAGTAGTAATCTTAATTAAGATATGAATTGTATTTTTAGTAATGGGGTATTTGAACATGTATATGTATCCACCAATAAATTTCGGATGCATGATTTTTAACAATACGATGATATTAGTGATACGACAGATACTCTTCAGTCTTGATTTGTTCTTAAATTCATGTGTTTCAGCTACATTTCATATTTAGATACATGTAATTAAGTGTATATGTTTATTATGTATTCGAGATACATGTATTTGGATATGACGTATGAAATTTAGATACACATAATTAAATGTATATGCTTCTTCTTTTTGCATATTCCATATTTAGATACACATAATTAGATGTATATGCTTACTATGTATTCGAGATACATGTTTTTGGATATAACATATGCAATTGATACTTGATACATCAAATTAATACTAGATACATATAAAAGATACATGAAATTAATATTAGTATATATAAATAGATACATAAAATTAATACTACATACGTATAACAAATACATGAAATTTTCTATGATACATATGAATGTGCTTGTATGACACTCATGTATCTAAGTATTTAGTTTGTTGGATACATCATATATTGATAATAAATACATCAAATTAATGAATTTATTATTTTAAAAGTAATAATTTGAAATTAATCAAATTACATTACCAAGATATACATGTTTTTATCTTCTACTAGTAATATTAATGAATTTACTATTTCAAAGAATAATAAAATGAAATTAATTATCTATGTATTTTGAAAATCCTCAATTACTCCTCTAATTAAGGAAATAAGTTACAACCAATTAATTTAAATAAATAAATTATGTATCTCAATTTTAAAATTCGGTAAATACATGTATCTCATGGATTCAGACTCATATATCCTAAGCATGAAATATGATAGAGGAAGTAATATTTAAAACTATTGGGAATTTTAGTAATTAAGACCTAAACTAGTGAGATTTATGTGGTTTTCCTTATAACTAATACCTTTCATTTGGAGGTATTAGCAATACATAGGATATAATACCATGGGATAAGTCTATGTAAAGACAAAAATATCCTTGAAATCATTTTAATTATTTTCTTGATTTTATGATTTATTTTGTACTAGTAAATTTATTTAAATAAATTAGCTTACAAATTATTTAAAGAGAGTTGTTTGTTACTAAATAAATCAAATTCAAATCAATATTACAAATTTGAAATATGAGTTTTTTATTTGTGTGTGTGTGGTTTTCTAATTATTTGTTTTTTGAAGAATTTAAAAAACGCATACATATTAAAATTACAACTTGCAATTTTCATGTGTAAATGTAGATGGTTTATTCAATTTAACTATTGTTGACATCTTTTGATTTTAAAAGTAGATGATTTATGTCTTTTTTTTTAAAAAATTGAAAAATGACATTTTGTGAGTGATCAATTTACTAACATGACAATTATTTATCTTCAAATAATTCAAGTGAAAAAATAGCAAAAATGATAACAAAATTGTTCTTCTCATAGCTAGTTAGAATGCCATAAAATAATAAAATTGTCCGGCAATTATCTACCTCGACTCAATTACCTAATAATTCAAGGGTATAATTGGAAAAAAAACTTTTTATAGAGTTTTAATCCAAACACAAGATGAGGTAGGAAATAATGAACCAAACACTTGATAAAAATAAACCTTGCATTACTAATCTCTGCACTACTGATCCATGTGTTATTAATCCTTGTACCAAACGACCCCTACGTGATTTGTCTAAAGTTCCTAAATATTTACTTATAAGGGCTTCTTTGGTACGGGGCTGCTCAATGCATTTAAAATGGAGAAAATTGTATGAAATAACAAACTATTAATTTAAATTAAATGTTACAACCATAGTTTATTTTAATTGTAATTAGCAGCAAACAACCCTTTTTTTGTCATCTGATTCGGTATACGATTAGCCATTTTCGGTATACAATTAGCCATTTTATACATTTCGGTATAAAATGTATAAAATGCATTTTTGTTTGTATAAAACGAGAGAAAAATGTATATACAAATACAAATACATATTTTTTGCGTCCTATACACTTATAATTATACAAATACAGATATTATTATACAAATTACAATGTATAAATGAATTTATACAAAACTGAACAATTTATATAAAATTGGATGTTTCTAGCAAATTATACAAATCAAAAGCTTCATAGCAAACATAAATTTTGTTATGGAGCGCAATTATGTAAACTATAGCTATAACATACAAATATAATTTTTATATTTGTTATATATGAAAGTTGCTCTTTAAAATGAGGTATCCGCATTAGCCCCCAAAATTTGAGGGACCCCCTTTTTTCAAGTAATAATAAAATTATTACGAGTTATTTTTTTAAAAAAATAATTATACTATGTCTTTCATGTAATTTGTCTTACACTTTTTAGTTTATTTTGAAACATTAAAGAATGTTTTTTCCTTTTTTGTCAAAATTTAATTCAACTTTCCACCTGACATGTTTAAGACCATAAGATCAAAAGATATATTGGTATATATACCTAATTTAGTTTAAGACAATTCAAAAAAATTCTTTATAGTGGAGTACTATTTATAGAAAAAGTAAAAAAAATCATTAAAAAGGAAAAAAATAATTTGCCTTTAATTTTTTTAAAAAAATATACAAAAAATTCATCTTAAAAACTAGAAGAATAAACTTTAAATAAAAAAAAGAAAAAGTTTAAACTTATCTTTTATATTTGGCTTTAGCTACTTTATAAAAGTATATTGAGTTTTGAAACTTATATTGCAAGTACTCAATTAAGAGTATGTTGAGTATCTACTATGTTTTATATCACTTTTAATTTATAGAGTACTCCCTCTTCCTTCTAGGAAGTCCTCTAGAGTTGTCAAACCTGCCCTATGGCTGCAACACTTTTTTGTTTCTATCTATTATTAAAATACAGAAGTATCGAAATATTTACCTAAATCCTTGTTTAAGTATTTTGGACAGTGTTACCATAGAGATTTCTTTGTTGGTTGATCGGGTTTACTGTCCCACATAAGTTTTCTGTTTCAATAAGATTTGGTTATTATAGTAAAACTTAATCGAGAAAAATATAATTACCAATTTTATCACTTCATGGGATTTTCTTATTGACTTGTCTGCATCTTTGGCGCATACTTTTGTCAAAGTTCTAAGTCTTCTTTGATTTCGATAACTTTTTGCTGATATCAAACAAATATTTCAGTAATCATTCAATTACAAAGCAACAGGTACAATGTTTTGTGTTACCTTGACCTCTCCGGGATCACAATTAGTAGGAGATGGATGCAACATATCAGCTACCCGATTCCCTGGGACCTGATACATCTTATAAGCTCTTACTTTCATTGTGAACTTTTGTGGTTGTTGTAAGAAATAAAATTTACTTTTCAGAATATAAAATCAAACATTAAACAAAAAACAAAAAAAAAAGGAAAATTACTTACCTTATATATATAATCAATGGCATTTGTAAAACCTTTCATTGTATAAGACTTTCATGTGTCCCGCTGGCCAAACGTAATGATTTTTGCTGTACAAATGTCAAAGTGATTAGGATTAATTATGGAAACTCTAAAGATTCGCCAAGTTGTATGCCATCTTTACAGTAACTGGTCAGTTGGTTCAACGGATTAAAGACGGGGTGTTTCAATTATGAGACTTTCGGCTAATCCAGATGCTAAGGTTGGCTATGTGTACAGGCCTTGGGTTCTGTGTGGTGAATTTAACACAACTAGACATCCTCATAGAAGAAGAACTGCCACAGAATCAGCAAAGCAATGTCTGACTTTGTGTGTGTTAACTATGGATTTATCTACGATTCTTTAAGAGTTACGATCAGTGTTTATCAAAGGCGAAAAGCGCAAAAAAGCTCTAAGGTCCATGGGGGCTTTAAACGCAAAAAACATATTGTAACATACTAGTCGTCCAAAAAAAAATGAAAAGGAGTACCATCAAATCCCTAAAAACACTATTGATGAATGTGTGTAGTCATTTCATGACATGTTCTTCTCCAGACCTTGAGAAGGCCAGATCATAAGTTAACAACCTAAAGAAAAGGACATTATCTAGTAGCTCACTGGTGTTCACAAAAATGATGCATGGAGGCAACCCTCCTGTTTATCTAAAAGTCTAATACTCAACATGAGAAGATGGCCCAATTCAGTAACTTCATAAGCACCAAAATTCAGTTAATTGAGCTGAAAGGGCTGAAATGAGCTAAAAAGGGACAGGATCAAATTGTTTTATTTGTTTTTTATAGTTTTTTAGTACCTAATAAAATTATAGTTTTTCTTAACATATCAGGAAAACCAAGATTTTTAGAAAATAGTTGACAAGATTTCTCATGGGCCAAATGGGGCTTATATTATCCCAAATTTTGAGGGCATGAGCTAATAAATGTACAGGTCAATAATCAGCTAAAACTTGGGCGAATTATGATTTCATGAGCTAATCTTGCCACCTCTAAAATTTTAAACTATAATTAGTGTTTGATCAAACATTTAATAAGTGTTTCTAAATAAGCACTTCTTGAAAAACACAAGTACTTTTAGCCTTCAAAAAAGTATGAACAAACAGGCTATTTATCTTTCAAAAATGCTTTTCAAAAACATATTTTTTTGAAAAAAAAAGCATTTCTAAGCTCCCAAAAACATAATAGTCAAAAACAGGAGTGTTTCTCTAAATACCAGAAATAAACCAGAAGCTCAGATAAAAGTATAATAAATAAAATAATGAATGTTTCTGTCTCTCTATGGAAATCCCATAGATGTTACATTATTTGTTTCTATAAACAAAAAAATATGCAGATTCAAATTCAAAAGCCTAACTGTTGAAACCAAATATAAAAACTTATATAACAAACACATCAACTGTTGGATCAAACGAGACGGTTATAATCTCCCCGTAGTTTCTGATCCTTGCTGGAATGCGTCCATTGGGCATAAAAGAGTTAATAACATGCAACCTGAAAAATCAGTTGTCGGCGTTATCAGGATGGAGGTGGGGTGGGACTAGATCATCGATCCAATCTCCATATATTCGACTGATCTTCTTTGATAGTTTCCATTTATGGATCTTCTTTTCCTCTCTTTCTTCTTGCATAGAAACATTAACCAGTGTGTTAGCAGAGGATGAGTCAACAGGCTGAATGGAGAAGGGTCTTGGAGTAATGGGGCCAGAATTCGTTGACATATCCATCTCAACTCGGCCAGTAGGCATTTGCAACTCTGCCAAAAGAAATAACCAAAGAGCTTATAAGATAAGATCCCATTTTTTGCCATAGAAAGCGAAAGGGGAAAATTTAAGATGTATGAGATACGTAGCACATAGAGCCCATCATTCACATATTCCGTGTTTAGTAAAAGTGGTAACGACCAAGTTACTTTAATGTTAGGCCTATAAAAACAAAGACATAGGCTAGACGTTGAAAGCTAAATACATTGTTACTTGTTTTAGATATGAGATATGACCAAAGAGAGAAATTGCATATACAATGTATGTAAACAGGAAATAGGATTAATCATAATCTGAGAACAACGAATGGCTGTGAATGTGCAAAACATCAGTCAAAGGACATTGCAACACGACAAATTCCTGGAATTATATATGGACGTAATCCAGAATGTGAGTTAATGTCAAGATTTTCATGTTTAAGGAAATAAGACACGCGTTGAATAACTGTTTTGCTTACAAACAAAACAGTAGCTAATTTTATACAAGATTCTCGTCTCAGTTGAGCCATTGCAGTTCTAGCAGAGGACTTGCTTAGCAACAGAAAGTTATGCTTCTAGGTGATATAGCTCGTAATTATTCGTCTTAAGCTTTTACTGTTTCATTATGCAGCCTTTACTTTTTACAATTGAGACATAAGGGGATTTGGCAAGACTTTTAAAGCAAGAATATGAGACTATTTTAAAACGACTAAACATAGAGTCAAACTAACAACGAGATGAACTGTGTAAAATTAGTTTACCTGATTGGCCATGAGCAAAGTGGCAACGATCACGGAAGGGGCATTGACCTGTTGTCTCCCACTTGCTGCATATCTTCGTCTTCCAGAATACAGGTTTAATACGGGCAGCATCTGAATCAGCATTTCCATGCTTGCTAATCTCAATCAGCTCGGGATCACATCTGTTTCCAGTAGTTCCGATACTTATTGCAGAACTCTCTCTGTGCCTTGGCATGTCGGTCTTAAATTTTGGAGGACGTTCATGAAGAAAATTACACTTATCTCCATAAGGACACTCCTCTCCGTTATAAAACTTCTTGCAAATTTTCATCCTATGTATTATTTTCTGATCATCATTCCAGTTCTCTGCTCCTCTATCCTTTTCACGTACCAAGTCCTGCCAATTCGGAGGAGGCTCCCGCAGATCTTCAACACCATGAGCAAATGTACAATGTTCCCCATTCCTACAAGTTCCTTCCAAGAACTTAGCACACATACGGGTTTTGTAAAATATATGGCTCGTCCCTTTGCTTCCCGGAAGATTTGGTGGATTCACTCTAGAATTCATAGCAGAAAAAGCTGCAGCATTCGGTGAGTTGCTATCAAACTCCCTCATTCTCTTGAATGGAGGAGCATGCTCAAACTGAGAATAGGACTCAAATAGCTCATGATTCATCGAAGAATGAGGCCAAACGTCCCCAGCATCACCACCAACAAATGGCATTTGCATAAAGTGCGAGGGAACAGGCGGTTGAGGCTGATCAGAGAAAGTCATATTCCCTTTTTCTAACATCAATTCTTTAAACTAAATCCAACTCTACTCTTCTCCTCTCTTAAAAAACAAATAAAGATTTAAAATTTAGCACAAAAACAGAGAAATTAATAAAACGCCAGTAACTAAACAGAGCTACATATATAAAACAACAGAACACCATAAAACTAAACAACAATAACATAGCCGCGTGGGGTCTAAGAAGGGTAGGATGTACACAAACTTTTCAATAGACCCTCGACTCAAAACAACAGTTCATAGAAAAAAAATAACAACTACACCTCAATCTCAATTTCAAACAAGTCGGGGTTGGCTATATGAGTCATCATTGTTCCATTTAACTATAATTCATGGCATGGCATAAAGAATCAAAAAAAAAAAAAAAAAACTTCAACAAAAAAAATTCTAGGCTGAAAACAAGAATGTATAGCAAACCTGAATCTGATCTTGTTATTTAATCACATACAAGAACACCCATATGATTAATTTAAATAAAAATTCAATCTTTATAACAAAATTTAAACATGCAATTGATTTTCAATATGTAAAAAGAAAAACTCACAAATATTTGAAGCCCTAGCCGCCAATGCTAAAACCTTAACTGAGAAGCAAAATCATATAGAAAACAAGTCCAAGTTCAAAGTGGAGACAGAAACCCTAAAACCCCACCAAAACGGCTAAAACCCCTTAAATAGTTTCTTGATTATTGATAATTATGATTATCCCCTCTAATATTTGATTATTTATTTTGATTTTTTGGCTTTGGGCTTTTTTTAGAGGGTTTAAGGAATTTTCAGTTTACAAGTTTTTAATAAAAGATTTGGAAAAAGAAAACAAATTTGGAAATTTTTTAAGAAATATTTTTTATTGTTACAAAAATGTGTTGGTGGAAAAAAAAAAAACTAGTGATGATTCTTGAGAATATGAAATAATTTATTATGAAGTTATAAACATTTATTAATTAGGCTTTTTGCGATTTTTCATAACTTTGTAAGGAGTTTATCTATTATTAGAGGTTATTTTCACGCAATTTATATAAATGACGTTAAAAGTTTAAAAATGGCGCCAAATAATTTTATTTCTACAAATCGGATAATCTATAAAAATATTGTTATTTTAGGAGAGTGCTTACTAAAAGAGTGACTAATTTTATAGATTTGAGATATGCTTTTTCTTTTACAAAAAAGAATGTGAGTTGTTATAGTGGTGAAGATTTTAATATTTTTATCTTGAGTTTGATAACGATAGAAGTATATTTGTTTGAATGATATAATGGAAGTTAAATGTAGATTATTTTCGAAAGTAAAGGGATAAATGTGATCATAATTTCTTTAATTAAATTCACATGATTTTTACATTAATAAAAAAGTTAAAGGTAAAAATTAAAATTATTTTTTAATCGTCATCAATCGAAGAATATATTTAAATCATTTGTGTAACTGCAAAAATATAAAAGGACTACTTCTTTAAATTGAAGATATATATGCTCTAAATTGAATAGTATGTATATACTATATACATAGGTATATATATTTGGACTTTTTCCATCTTTTGTGAAGTAGTATCAAATTATTTATTCCCAAAAACTTAAACAACATTTATGTACAGAGTTGATAGAAAAAAATATGTAATTTGACCTTCTTAAATTGAAGCGTATCATATTAAGTAAAATGGAGGGAGTACCTACTTAACAAAATCTCAAATGGTCACCAAGAATTGTGATGGAATAAATATCATGATCCTTCTATATTCTTAATCAAAAATCTTGAGTTTCATTTAATTTTGGATATTAAAAAAATTCTCGATACAGAATATTTCCCCTTACATAGACCCTATATTATATAATTTTAAATTAATTGAGATTCTAATATAAATATCGGACATAATACAAGACTGCAATAAATTCAAATAAAAATAGATAGAAAACACAATGCATTATAAATGGTGTTAGAAATTGGAATGGTAGGTAAGTCATGCAAATCTATATCAAGGTTAGTTTTAAACCTGATGTTTTTCATGAAACATCAACACTTATATATATCATTATATTATATATTGTATATAATCATTACAATTATTTTCAATAAATTGATTGGGTCTTTAAATAAGTTTTCTTTCTGAAATAATGGCATTCAAATTTATAGCCATACTGTTATTGGAAATAATAACTTTTGCAACACTTGTCTGGGGAGAAAATGGTCTTGCAATTAAAAGCATCCAGGTATGTTTGTATCTTTATGAACTTTATAATTTTTTTAAAAAAACATATACTTTCATTTTCTTTCATTTTTGTTGGCTTCTAGCCTTCTATATGATGTTTGATATTAATAATGGGCCTTAAATAAGTTGGATTCTGTATACGTAAGGCCCATTTAAGATGGGTCAGCAATTTCTTTCATATATGAAGTTCAAACTCGAGAATACTGATCAAGGATGAAAGAAAACTATTTATGTGTTGTTTTTTTTCTATTTGACTTGATCACTAGTATATAGTATAGCATTATAAGTTTTTCTCTTGCATAATATTTATATATATACCACCATACCATATTAAAAGTATTACATTATTGTAATTTCTTATTGAATATAGTAATGTTATTCTCATACATTAAGTGTATTATTTGATTTTTTTTTTCTTTTTGTTTCCATTTTTTTAGAGTGAAGATGGAGATGTCATTGACTGCATTGACATTTTCAAGCAGCCAGCTTTGTATCATCCTGCCTTGAAAAATCACAAAATTCAGGTTCATTCAATAATTAATATCAATTTACATTAACAATTATAGAAAATAGCTTAATTAATTAGGAGTAACTTTAATACATCAATAATTCTTTTTAAAAAATGAAAATTCACCATCAGATCATCAAGTATATGATAATTACATATAACTGTTTATAAAAAGGTGGAAGTAACTAGTAATATAAAAATAAAGTGTGTTATTCAGTATCTACTATAATAGATTAAAATATATTGATATAGCTATAAAAACAATTATTGTCAACATATACACATATCGTACTAAAGATAATGAAAAAAATTGAAAAATGATAGATTTTCAAAAAATAAGTAAAAGCATAATGAAAGACTTTCAGTCAGTTCAGTTCCTTTTCAGTTAGCTACTTGGGATGAATCACACAGAGGCGATCTCAAACATAAGAATACAATATTTTTCAAGAGACGGAAGGCCTAAGAGAGATGGGGAACTTCTCTCCTATAAATCTTCTTTGCACGAGCTTCTGTAAGCCCCGAAACAGACTCCAATTACATATGTAAAGCATCGTGCCATTTCAAATCAAACAAGTGAGGAAGCCATAATCTTCATAAGCAGACGTCTGAGTCTAGCTTTCAATCAGCGAAATACTTATTTTTTGTCAAAAACTAAATATCCAATTGATAAAAATGGAAGAAAGATGACACGACCTTTTATGACTATTGTTCATTTTGAGCATAAAGCGGTTTCTTCCTATCCGTATGAATCGGACAATACTATGCTACGTTAAATCGTCAAAGAAAAATTAAAGATATACTTTTGAATTCCTTTATAAATTCTGATTCTGACAAGCAATTGATGAGAAGCGGGCAGAGTCATCCTTGTCTAAGGAGTTGTCAATTGACACCCTTTAGAGAGAAAAAATTGGAGTAAACTGTTTGTAGATAGATACACAAAAAATATTTATAAATATTATATGTTGAATTTAATATTTTTCGTCTATTTACTTCTTATATTTTTTTACGACAGATGACACCTAGCTATAATACAATGGTGGAGACTACAAAAACAAATGATCAAGAAAAATCATACAAATGTGTGACAACACAAATATGGCATAAAAGTGGAAGTTGTCCAAAAGGGACAATTCCAATTAGAAGAACACAAAATATTAAGAAGGATCAAATAAAGAAGCCTAATCACTTTCATCTTGATAAAGGATTGAAGATCAAAAAGGATATCAAACTTACACAAAAAAATCACTCAGTAAGTTCTCTAAAATATTTGTGTGATTTTTCTATCAGTATAATTTAATTGATAATAACAATTTAATGAGTATGTACTAATTAATACTTTTTATAAAAAAAAATAGATATAAAAAAACAACTTATTACATTTTGGATAAATAATTTATACATATTATACTAAAAGAATTTCTTAAAATAAATACACGATGCAATTAGATTCTATCAAATTCGTAATCAAAATTCTAGCTCTGATCCTGCAAATGACAACCGTATGAACGATGCCAAAGTATAACATGAGGTAATATTAAGATATTTTTAAATTTAAATTTTATCCGACATTTTAGGTGACCAGATCATATATTGATATAGATAATGACAATCTTAATGTAAGTAACAATCTTGATGCTAGTGAAAATATCTATCGTAACTTTGATATAGAGTTGAATTTTTTTTTTATTAGTCTCAATGCATAAAATTGATTTAATTCTTCTTCTTATGATATTTTCTAACCATATTTTATTTTTTTTAAATGAAGATGGCTATATTGCTTGCAGAAGGATATAGATATGTTGGAGGAAAAACAGATATGATCACTAGGAATCCTCATGTTGAAGAAGATGATGAATATAGCACTTCTAGACTTACTCTCAAGAGTGGATCTTACTATAATTATCAAGACATTGAATCTGGATGGATTGTTAGTACTTGATTTTCGATTGATTTCATAAAGTATAATTATAGTCAAATCTCTTTATACCAGCATATTGATCACCTCAATAGACCAATACCACATAAAACATATGAAAAATGTTGTTATATATATTCTTTTATTACTATACTAACATTTTACTAAATAGTTGATTTCTAACATTTTTAGGTAAATCCAAGGGTTTATGGTGATAGGCAAACAAGACTTTTCACTTATTGGACTGTAAGTATTTTTAGTTTTTTTAAATTGTTAATTAATTTATATAATTAGTTAAATCATATACTAATTGAACTTGTTTTTGAATTCAATATATAGAATGATGGCTCAAGAGAAACAGGATGTTTTGACTTAACTTGTCCTGGTTTTGTACAAATTAGTCATGAGATAGCACTTGGTGCTGCTATATATCCAATATCAACTCAATATGGTCTTCCATATTCAATTACTATTTATATCTACAAGGTTAGTAATTAATTATCATTAGGTAAGGACAAGATTGCATACACACTATCCTCCTCGATCAGATTCCACTAGTGAGATTATATATATCGAGTGATCTTATCATAATAATTTCTTGTGTTTTCTTGTGCTAATTAATTATTATAGGATTTTAATACTAGCAATTGGTGGTTACAATATGGAGGATCAATCAACATAGGATATTGGCCATCAAAGATCTTTGAAGGTGGACTAGAAGTCCATGCAGAAACAGTTCAATGGGGTGGTGAAGTTTATAGCAAAAATGTAGGGAAACATCCTCATACAAAAACACAAATGGGAAGTGGAGTTTTTCCATTTTATATATTTGCAAGTACTGGATTTATGAAGTATATGAGAATTCTTGATAATACAATGGAGTTGAGATTTCCACAAAATGTTGTTGCTTATTCAGAGGAATATGATTGTTATAGAACTCAATATGTGGGTGATTATATTGAAGAACCTGAATTTCACTTTGGAGGCCCAGGAAGAAATCCATTATGTCCTTGAAATTATATATTTGAGTTTGTTGAGTTTATTGTCAATCTTGATTTCTTGAGGGTCTTACGGTAACAG